CACTCCCCCCCCCCACACACACACAATTTTGCTGCTGTAGACTGCAAATTTCCCCAGTGTGGGACAAATAAAGGTTATCTTATATCATTCCAGGGTGAAGTACCTTGTTACCTATTTTGTTACCTCGTGAATAAAATAGTAGGCCACTCTCACTCACTAGTAAGTAATTATTAGACTTTTACACTATAACATGTCACATGCAAAACAAAATAAGCTTACATACATTTTTGATTGTTGAACTGTGATTCAATGACTTGCGTCTAATTTGGTATAGAACATTTGGCAAAAATGTATGATGCCTGAAAAATAGCTTGAGTGAGTGAGTGAGTGTGTGTGTGTGTGAGAAAAGCATCACGTTCTTAAAAGAACTGCTTAAGTCATTTTCTTTTTTTTTCAGAAAACACAAAAAACTGCACCACATTCTGACAGTCTTTAATGAACAATCTGTTTAACTAAGGATGTAGTTGATTTTAGCAGAGGCGGCCGGTATCCTGAGATGTTTAAGGCAAAAAAAAAAGCCCACCTTGTCAAAATTAGACTTAGGTCATTGTATTAAGAGGCCTACTATATATATAATTATTATTATAGTTAACTGTACCAATGAAAGCCTCGAGACATTTACATGGCAATAGTGTCTTTCATGCACACCCTGAAAACAGAACTGTCAAACAAGACAGACAGTTGTAGTATTCCAACTGTGTAATTTAACATGAACAAAGACCGGCCCTTAAAGTATCCACTCTGCACAATTACGAGGACTTAAGTCTTTACCTATGAAACTGTGGGTCTGCATCAACTGTTGTGTGTCCATCAGTGTTTTCATTGCTCGGGCCATTATTTATGTGGCTGTGCTCACATCCCGGGGAACCGCAGCAAACACAGGCTTCCTGCATTTGACCCATTTCATCATCATCCGCCTGTTCTCTCGTTAAAAATTCAGGCTGATCCCACAATTCCTGGCCGTCAAACACTTCTATTCCAGAGTCCCCTGTGAAGCGCCGGTACCTGCCCTGCATTGAATCCTTGTTGGTGTGAGTGCTTTGAGACTGGAGCAGCAGAGTCTCTGGGATAGCCGTGCAAGCTGCATCACTTGGGATTGGTGTTGCTGCATGGTCGCAAGATTCATCAAGTGTATCTGTGGGTGGAGGTGTTGCCAGGACAGGTGTGTAAGGTGGAGGGGGAGTAGCTGGACGGTCGATGACCTCGTCGTAAGCTGGCAACAGGTACGAGGGCAGGAATCCTGAAAAAAGACAAATAATTATTCACAGCCAGCAAATCAAATGTCCTCTTTTGTACTCTTTTTGAGCTTGCATCGATTTTTTTTTTCCTCGACACATTGACTTTCCCCAAAATAAGAAAGGCCATGTTGCTGGAGAGCTGAAAATCAAAAACATCTGCCGAGCAGTTTGATGACTGTTTTGTAAACTTTCAGTGGAAACAACATGGCTACGCTTTATGGATAAATTGTTATTGGTGAATGGGGCAGGTCCAAGTGTCTCCTGTTCAGCTGACATCAGGTTCCATTGTTGGCAGTCAGTTCCACTCTATTGCCAAAAGTATTCGCTCACTCACTCAAATCAGGAAAACACCATATAAATCTGTTGCATTATTATTTTTATTATTCCAATCCCTGCCATGAGCACACCTCTAGAAAAGACAGCGACTAGGCATTATGACTGTTTTAATAAACATTTGCAAAAGAATGCATCGCTCTCAGGAGCTCAGTGAATTCCAGCGTGGAACTGTGATTGGATGCCACTTGTGCAACAAGTCCAGTCGTAAAATTTCCTCGCTACTTAATAATATTCCACAGTCGTCTGTCAAATATTTTAGAAAAACATGGACGTGTTTGGGAATGACAACAACTCAGTCACAAAATGGTAGGCCACGCAAACTGACAGAGTGTCTTGGAGGTGTTGAGCGGATGCTGAGGCACCTGCTTTCGGAGTCGAAAGACCTCCAAACCTATTGTGGCCCTCAGATGAGCTCAAGAACAGTCGGTGCATGCAGTCAGAATGTCATGAAATGTGCTTTTATTTAAATAGTTCAGCCCTCGTTCACAGTAACTGATCCATTTTGAAGGTGAGTCTCCTAATGTGATTTTACCTCGTTTAAGCTACCAACATTTTCATATTCTTGTATCCACTGCTTTCAACAGTAGTGGCATTTGATTGATGGCTAGCGGTTGAGTGGGGCTTCGTTTCAGCGCACTCAGTTGACACAACCACGGTGTTTGAAGGTGAGTGAACAGGTTCGAAGCTTCCATTTAAGTGCTGTACTTTTAAATTGGTCACGACTGTTCACAACACTTGTTGAGCTGTGTGTCAAATTTACAAGTGACATTTACTTAGAGGGTCTTTAAAGTATGATGGATGAGGGCCAACTTAACCAAGCCTTTCCTCTCCTCACTTCAATGCCTATTGCGCCTACGTCACACAACGTCAAAGGGTGAGTAATTTAATTTTAAGGTTTTTTGATGGTGAAATCTTGACACTGGGCCAACTTATTTTAGAGAAAATTCATGGCAGAAGAACAAACTAAAATAAGAACCAAGTGTCAACCAGGCAGCACAGTGGCATATGGTGTTAGCACAGAGGTGGGCAAACTATGGCCAGCGGGCCGGATCCAGCCCGTTGGTCTTTTTAATCCGGCCCGCCGAAGGTTGGTACACAATTAAGGTTCGACGTGAATGATTGCATTCATTTCATTTGGACTTGTAATGACAGGCATTTCAATGCCAGGTGGCGCAGTTAAGCTCCTATATTTTGTTGTTCTACATCTTCCTTTCATAACTTTGCTGCTGTGAATTGGGAATTTCTCCATTGCGAGACTAATAAAGGTTTTTCTTATCTTACTTGAAGTTGCAGAGCACAGGGAGGGAGGGGGAGACGAAGAGAGAGGGAGAGAGATAGAGGGAGAAATCTTCTACCACCTGCAGACCTCTGTCAAATGGAAATTCCCCAACATGGTAAAAGAAAAAGAACTTAAGCATTAAACTTTCTACTACTATATTACATGAACGATCATTTCATAACAACGGACGTTCTGGAAGCCATACGGAAGCCCGCAGTAGCACCAACTCCAGCAACTCTCGCTCGATACAACGGAATAAGTGTGTCCGCGCCGCCGCTATTTTCTATCATTGGATTCAAAACGGCGACATGCAAGTGACTCTTGATTGCAATGAGTTTTCATTCATTTACATTTACGTCCTGTAGATCATGGCATCCAAACGAAGAGGAACAGTAATGATCGCAAAGATACCGTCCACAGTCAGGGATTCATGAAATCAAATGGACACATATCCTGAACAATGCCCATCATAATCAAGCAGGAACAAATTCCAGTAAAATAATCTAAATCTAAAAAATAAATCATAACTTTGCTGCTGTGAATTGGGAATTTCTCCATTGCGAGACTAATAAAGGTTTTTCTTATCTTACTTGAAGTTGCAGAGCACAGGGAGGGAGGGGGAGACGAAGAGAGAGGGAGAGAGATAGAGGGAGAAATCTTCTACCACCTGCAGACCTCTGTCAAATGGAAATTCCCCAACATGGTAAAAGAAAAAGAACTTAAGCATTAAACTTTCTACTACTATATTACATGAACGATCATTTCATAACAACGGACGTTCTGGAAGCCATACGGAAGCCCGCAGTAGCACCAACTCCAGCAACTCTCGCTCGATACAACGGAATAAGTGTGTCCGCGCCGCCGCTATTTTCTATCATTGGATTCAAAACGGCGACATGCAAGTGACTCTTGATTGCAATGAGTTTTCATTCATTTACATTTACGTCCTGTAGATCATGGCATCCAAACGAAGAGGAACAGTAATGATCGCAAAGGAGAAAGTGATATGTATCTGATTAAACGAAGCGGGTTACAAAGTACGAAACATTCAAGAGACGATTGGAGTCGGAAAGACTCAAATCAACGAGACTTTGAAAAACAAGGAAGCAATTTTTTTCTCAGTCCGATACTGGCAATTTCCCTGCTCAGAGTGAATTGCTTGCGGCTCGATGGACAGTCGAGTAAATGAACGTTTCCTGGAATGGTTAGACTGACTGTTATCGTGTTAAAACCTTTCCGCAAACTGGACCGCTAATAAGAGAGGAGGCAAGTTCCAGAGCGCTAACTATGAGCATCGAATACTTTAAAGCTTGCCGTGGCTGGCTTCAAAAGTTCGTTGCACGACATCAGCTGAGCAACGCTGTCATGTGTGGTGATCGAGGGGAGGTAAAGTTAGAGACAGTGAGCAAGTGGAACGAAAGGCCACCAAGTCTCTAACGTCTCATTTTGTAGCAAATAGTCCTAACTTTGTTGTATTTTGTATATTTTTTTGTTTTGTATTTTTTTTTTTTAATAAGAGGGCTAGTTAGTTTAGCATTGTGTATGTGGATTCTGTGTTTAACCCGTTCAGGGACAGCGGTTACTACAGTGGACAGGATATCATGTTATCAATTTACAGGGTGCATGAAAGGGTTAAGATGGATGCATGATATCTTCACTTCATCGACCAGAAAATGTTCAGGTATTTATCGTGTGCCACTCTGGAATGTAAAAATAAACGTGGAACATGCCGACCACAGGTGTCCAACTCAAGTCGACAGAAAGTAGTTTTATCGTAATAATCGCCCTACTGAGGACAACTAACTACAATGTGGTCCGCGATAAAAACACATTTGACACACACACACACACACACACACACACACACACACACACACACACACACACACACACACACACACACACACACACACACACACACACACCACTCCTTACTGAGATAGAGGGGAAGCTGAGAGTTGTTGTGAGCTTCTCTGTAGGCAATGAGGTTGATCTCGTTCTGCCGACGCTGCTGCTGGAAGCGCTGTTTGGAGCGCCAGTGCTGACACAAACAACAGCATGTCAGAATGCCGATCAGAGTCCACACCAACCAGAACCCTGTAAGACGACCACACAATATGTCCGGCACAACATTAGAAAGGCACACAAATAAAGAGTCCAAGAACAGCTTCTGTAGTATTTCACTGTTCTGTTTTATCTGGTACGAAAAATCAATACATTAAATAATACATCATTCTTATGTTTAAGTACATAGACAATACTCGAAGTACATTTTTCCTACTCAATGACTTGATTTCAGGTTAATCCAACAGACCTGAAGCATTGTGAAAAGCAGCAAACTGGATTTTCATTGACATTACTGTAGTACATTTATAAGTTTAAGTTCAAGCTTTATAGTTCTAAATGGGTATTTCTTATTTCAAAAGAAAAAGAGCTCTACTGTGATGTCATCTTGAAAACGTTTATTGCGCAGATGTCAAGAGTCAAAATCAAAATGTAGGACTTAATTGTGAAAACAAACAAGATATTCACCTTCAAGGACACTCCTTCTTGGCTGACGTACGCAATACAATAACATACCGGTAATTCATTTCCAGTTTTCGGGCCCTGTTGAGCGATGTGCGTGTCATAACTGTGTCGCACTGGGCGATGTGGGAAAAAAATCTGCAATTATGATATAGCCCATTTTATATTATCAAGGTTTTTCCAGCTAATTTTGTGCCGTCCCCAGCCAGACTGATTTATATCGCTCAACACAGCATAACTCTCCAGCTGTGCTGATTGAGTGATAGACGTCCCTCTATGGTAGTGATGTATTTTAATTGCAGTTGCAGTGTTGCGCCACTATGGAGGCGCTATATCAACAGCTGTGCACAGGAAAGACCTGAATCAACTACAGAAGAAGAAACAGATCCAATTGTGTTTTTTTTCTCCGCTAGTTGTTGCTATTGGCATCCTGTTTTTACCTGGCAGATTTCACAATCAGGGAAATGTTGCCTGTCTTTTTTTTTTTTTGCATCCAAGCATGTCATGTTTTTTTTAAATAAAAATTTGCTTTGTGTCAAAGTAATGTTTATGATTTGTAGCGTTGCAGATATGGCAGGGAAAATCAGCCACTCGAAAGGAGGAAAGCCAAGTCCACATGTTAAGAAACGATATCTTGTATCCTCATTTCTGTAATGCTGTGATGTGTTCTTTATGATTGAAATGTGTCATTGGGACATATTACTTGTTTATTTAGAACGGATCTGGCAACCCAAATTACTACGCCATATCCAGTCTGTATTCGGTGCGAAATGTCTTCTTCCTGTTCAGTGGTGATGAGAAGCGGCTGCTCAAAGTGCAGTCGGCAAAATAAACATGCCACGAGTTTGAGTTAAGTGAAGAAAATTAATCTCTCGTCATTATTTTCCCAAATATACCCCGAACGAAGCGCATATCTCAACACCACAGAGCAGAGAAATTAAGGCAACAGGCAGTTAAAATGTAATAATTCATGGTGGTGACAACGTGGAAATTTTGTCTGAAACACTGGTGTTAGCGAGGGCCGGAATGCAGGACAGGACGAGTAGGTGAGGCGAGGCTACATAAATCTATTTCCAATTAGGAGCATAACAACGCAAAGCCAATGTGTATCGGGTCAAAAAAATACAACTCGTTCATGAGGCAAATTTGAAGCTTCATTTTCCCATCACTGCAACACACTACGACTGCTTATGTTTTCTCACCTTATTTTGCAGAGATATTAAACAGACCCGAATCAAATGAGAAATGCATTCAGTAGTACCGCTATATAAAATCATCAAATAGACAGTAAATAAAAGTAAAGCCTACCTATTTTTGCACAAATGTAGACATCAATCTAAATACGGGGCTTAAAACAAGAATATCGCTGACAAAAAAAAAAAAAAAAAAAAACCTCAACTGTGATTTAATTTTGAGAAAATT